TCAAAACTGACAAGTGCATGAGAAAATAAATGTCTACAAATTGACTAATCCAGCCGCTTTTGGCCTTATGGGATTCATTTATGGGTAGCAACCGTTGATACGTTTAATTTAATAATACAATTTAATTTGTTGAGAAAGCTCTTAGAAAAATATTAAAAGCTGCGTTTTGCTCGTGAAAGGAAACGATGCATATAATATAATATAAATATCTAAAAATACTAACCACTAAGAAACTGCTAAACATGCTCTCTTAAGAGGACGTTATACCCTCATGTGTTGACACTATCTTACAAGTGCTTAACATATCAAATTTTACGCTCAGCAGTGCACGTTTAACTCCGTTAAACAATTTAAGTGAATTAACTTCTTATGAAAATGAAAGGTAAGAATATTATGGTTGGCTTTTTATTTTACTAGCAATCAATTCACTCTAATTTTTAAACTAACTGTGATAAACGTGATCTGCTGAGCGTAAAGTTTGCTATGTTATGCACTTGTAAGACGGAGACAACACATGGGAGTATAACGTCCTTTTAAAATACCCATCATAAGATCTACAATAGCCTCCTGTCCTGCACACAAAACAATTAGTTTCAGCACCCTGTTTCTTCTCAAAACGTTCCTAACTTATCAAATAGGCGTCTAAAACAACGATAGTATACATAGTATATACGTATGTAAATACCTTTCAAGATAATTTCTTCTCCGTCCAAAAATAATAAACATAAATTCATCGCATCAACCGACCGGTCTCCTTTCTCCTATCGTGAATTTCAAATTTATCCTAGGTTTAATATTTAATCACTTCTACTTAACTGTACAACATATTATTCGCAGGCTGTTTATTGTAAAAAAAAACGTATTTCAATTATATGAAACTCAACGGTCGTTCACATAAACAAAATAACTCTGTACACCTATTGCAGTGGTCGGAAAAACGTTACTTATTTTAATCAAATATTATATTGTGCGATTTAATAATATTCAAACAATTATAAATTCATAATGATTAATAGATTATACTTTTGTTAGTAAAATGGTCTGTCACTGAATGGCCTCTGTTTCTGTTAATTTGCCTTGCATATATATTATTTTTACTAAATATTTTTGTTTTGTGTAAATCCTTGAACGCTTTTATCAAATTTACCCAATGTGTTTTGTTATGGCGATTGTATTTATTGAGATTAAATAAATTTAACTGGTTTTGAAGTGAGTTAGGTTACGTTTATTTCTATCGAACCGTTCAAACCTGTAACTTTTACAAGTTAAAAAGAAAGACTAGTAAAATTAAACGATTGAGACTTAGTTTAAATCAACTAAACTGAATGAGTTAAAATCAATAATTCACTTCCCAGCCATGTGAAATAGTATGACTTACAGTTATTCTTGTTTCAAAATGATCACTAGATTATAATATTTTTATGCATAATAGAGATTTGTAAGTGCTGCTCACAAAATTTCAGTTTTGAAAAAAAATGTTTACGCTCGAGGCACGCAAGTATATAATATGAGAGTATATGGTCGTTTCTTTTTTAGCTCAGAATCCAAAATCAATAATCTGTAGATACACACCATTATGCACAACAATAATATAATATAATATTGGTGAAGAATACGCTCTCGTAAACCGATCGAATGCGAAACACCCTTTGTTTTTATTATTGTTATATTGAAATCCAATCTCTATACAACTATTCATATATAAGTATATAATATATTATATATTACCTATAGGCAGTACATAATAATAATTATAATGATACATACGTCATACACACATATATACACACATACATATTTATACTTGTAATTTTGACATCTACCGAGGTGAACAAAAAAATACGTTGACGGTTCGTATTATGCTGCACTATAATAGGTGAATACAAATATTGTATACATAATATAACACAAATAATATGCATATAACGTGCCCTTTAAGTGAATTGATTTTTTTTCGTAAATACATACACACATATAATATGTAGAATATTGTATGTTTATAATATTCGAATCGGAGGAAAAAAACATACACGATATTGCGCAAAGTCTATACCATTGTGTTCTCGTGAGATTTATAAAATTCGGTCGTCCTACCTATGGAAAAAAAAATGTTAATCAAATCCCTTACATACGTTTGTTATAATTAACCCTCGGTAACGTGCGCAGTAGGAGTACACATTTGCCCTAACAAAATATGATTTTACTTTCTTCTGAAATTCTCTGAGTATTTTATTTATTTATGTTTTGGTGGTCTACACTGAAAAGTAAACCAAAGTGCGTGATGACAATAGGCGGAGGGTATATCAAAAGAAATATTTTTTGGGGGGAATGGTGTGTGCCGTGTGTGGTATTGAAAAAAAAGAAAAACACTACTTACGTTATGTTAGAACGTCCAAAATAACCAATTAAATAAATGACTATACCTACATCCGTCATAATATGATAGTGGTACAATCGTCATATAATAAAATTGACTCTATGATTGTACGAATTTCGACAGTACACATATTATTTATGATGCGTTGGCATTTTGATAATTATTTTACATTTTGAGACAATAACTCGGGACACACAAAGAATTGTCAACAAGATCAAAGCCTAACATGATATTGGTTGAGGAAACGCGAATCAAAGTAAACGTAATCCTGAACTAAATAACAGGAAAATATTAATATTTATAATAAAGGAGATTCTTTTTAAAAATGTATATTGAACACTTCCTAAATAATTTAAGTATGTTATATAATTTCAAGTTAAATTTAAAAACGTAAAAATGTTTATTCAGTTTGATTAAAGAAGTATATACATATTTTTAATAAAAAGAATTTCTAAAATCTTCAATATAGGTATTTTATTAATAAAACCTTACATCTTAAGATTTATTACAGTTGTACAATTAATTTTAAAAGAAAGATCACTCTCAAAATAAATGACCAATATTTGATTGAATTTACCCTAACAATAATTTTAAGATCAATTAGATAATAAAAAAATGATACCGCGTGTAAAATATATAATACGACATTTATCAGTATTTAATAATGATAAGTGATAAATCGATTTTACTCCATTATATAAATGTGTTTAAATTTAACAGTAGTAGTTCAAGAATCATTAATAGTTTTAACTATACAGGAAGTCTTTGCATCATCAGCAATTAACAAAATTATTTTAGAACTATCCAAGACTAGAGGCAGATTAATAATAAATATTAAAATTAGTAGAAAGAAACAGTATATACAATCTAAACATTTGAAAATAAGGTCATATAAGTATACTAAAAATTGCAATGCTCAGAATTTAAATAAATTTGTTATTTAATTGAATAAAGACGGATGAAGCATGCTTGGCGAATCGCTCTGTTTAAAATTATACGCACGGTATAATAATAATAATAATAACGATAATAACTATTATACGGTAATAATATAAAATCCGAATACGTGGTCGAAAGTCAAGTCGCAACCAAGTCTATTCGTGCTTGATGCTGCTGCAGTGACGTCTAGTATAATAATACTATATATATATATATATAGTAAACTCGTAAGTCTCGGCAATCAACATCATTATATTACACACACAAAGTTCAATACGGTGCAGTGCTTTATTTTCTCGGCGACCAGGCCACATAATGTAATATAATAATAATAATAATATTATGACCGATCGACCGCAATATACTAGTATACTCGTATATATAATATAAATATAAACCTATAGCTTTTAAAATATTATATCATTATAATAGTTTATAACCAATAAAAATAATGAAAATAATATTCCGCGACTTCTCCAAAGCCGCAGCACGACCACTTCTCGTCCCTAGATCATCCACTGCAAGAAAACCCTTCAAATAACCACGGCACTCGAACTCCTAACCAACATGTATTCATGCTTACTGAGCGCATAATATACTATAGCCAAAAATACTTCTGAAAGTCATCTCTCTTCGACTGCAAATAAAAATAAATGTCGATTACACTTAAATTTTTACCCGTCTTTCAAGATCAATTTCAGAACAATTTCTAGGTCGGTGATATATTTTTATTTTTTTTTTTTTGATTCGTCTACGTCATCAAAGCTTTTAGAGTTTTAAACTTAGGTGTGTATAATAATAATGAGAATACAAATCGTAAAAAACGCGTTCGTTATTTTATTTTATCGAGTAGGTATAGTATCATATTATACCCATGCCACCGGTGTAGAAAATGGGAATCTACACTAATCCCATGACTAATTCAATTAAAACGTATAAAGGTATAGACTCCGAAACATCTAACAATATATTATATTATGATTGGACATTTTGTGACCTATTGTGCGTCCGTCAACTGCAGGTATAATAATATCCTTTATGATTTAATAAAAATAATAGTTTTCGACCGCCTACTACGATTATTCCAATACCAATATATCTAATGCAATTGATATAAAAAAAAAAACGATATCGTTACATAATGTTAAACTACTAGATGTATGTAATAATATGTATGTAAGTACTGCAGTACTATATATAAATATTATTTTTTTTAAATAAAAAAGTATTGTTAAGTTTTCTTTTAATAAAATACGTATACTATATAGGTATACAAAACGTCAAAACAATATTTATAGATATTATTAATAAGTAAATCGTACCTATATATTTATATACCAGATACACCTGTCATAAAAATAAATTTAATTCTTGGATAAAATGTTGAACATTTAATTGATTTTTTTTTTATTATTAAATTATGAACAAACGTAAGTTTACCGAACTAGTTTTAGTAGGTAGACTATAACCTTTTTCTCGTCTCATTAATGACATCTAATCTTACTTATAAAATTGGTCAGTTTATAGTTCAAATACATTGGCTTTTGTGCCAACTACCACATATAATATTATATATTTAAACATATAGGTATACACCAGGACAGAATATTATAGTTTACAATATTGTTATAAACACTAGCCGTATTAATAGTATAATAATGGTACATACGTTTTTTGTTTTCAGCCGATTTTAACGGCGAGTCGGACACGGAAAACAAGCAAAACGCCGCGGCCAGAGAATCTGATGCTTCATCCAACGTGTCGGACATCAAAATGGAGACGGGCACCGGGTCGTCGCTGAGCAATTACCGGTACAAGATCGACTACGGCACGGACTCGATGACCGTGACCACAACCGCGACCGCGGTCGACGACCAGCATCCACGGTCCGCTACCCCAAAGAGCGGCGGCGGCAGCCAGACGACCCTGCCCCGCGGAGGAGGTGGCATCCCTCTGGCCGGCCCGGTTCCAGTCGACCCACGGTACGCCACGGCCGCCGGATATCTGGGGCACCTGCACCCACACAACGTCATGCACCACCCTCTGGCCAACGGCACCGTCATCGGCGATTACGCGGACCCGCTCAACTATGTCAGATACACCAGCAACCATCTCGCCGTGAGTGCTCATATTATTATGTCCTACCCTGTGCATCATAACAATGCGTATAGATAACGCGAGTTCGTCTGTAGTGTGTACACTGACATCGATTCGGTTTTCACCACTGTCAAAAAAATCTCGAGGATAAGGTTATAGGTGGCATTTCGTCCAAGAAATTCCCCTCCCCCTAAAAGGGGTTTGCATATTAAGATTAAAATGTTTTCCTCAAATTAATAACGGGAAATTACATTTTTTTTTTGTTTTGCTTAGAAAAATACACAACGGGGCGATAATATCCCCATTTTTTAAATTATCGTTTATTATTTTTGTTTGTTTTTTCCCCGCGCGACGGTTTGTTCGTGGGTGTGACATTATAACCGAGAAATACACAAAGCGCTGTTTCCACTCCACTACGGGCGAATTGCCTATTTCGGTCGCGTTTGACCACAGAGCAAGGTACCTCCACCGACTTATACAGTTATCCACCGTGAACTGAGGTGGTACACTAAAACCCATGGGTTAAATTTAAATCTTGTTCTTTGGTTGAGCTGAACAAATGAATAAATGCCTAAAGGTCCCAGGGGGTGTCGGGCAAAGCATCCCTACCCCATATTAGCTCACCTTCGATGGTTTTAAAGTGGGCTTGTCACCCGTCTTTAACAAAATAAATTACTATTATACATAAGAAACAGTAAGGAAATTGTGCTAGTTAAAATTAAAAAGAAAATAACGGGTAATAGATATCAGATATGGTAGGTACGACAAACTAAGACAATAACATTATTTTATTTAAGATTTAAAATGGAAAAATTTAAATCTAATGACGGGAAGCTGTGTTAATTCTTTCTCATTTATTGGTATTCACTGTCGTGCAAAAATGGACAAAACACAAATTTGTTTAGTTGTTGGTGAGATGATGACATTTGTATGCGTGTGCGGTTATGAGGATATTATTGAAATGGCAATGCCGGGTAGCTATAATTACGTCACGATAGTATAATAATTAATAGTTAATAGAGACTAATATTCATTTACATATCTGCGCACGCCATCATTGACAAGGTAGTAAAATATAACATACCACATAAAACGCATGCCTTCTTTATTACCCGATCTTGTTGTAGAATGTAGTTGTACACCGAAGAGCTAAATTTATGACTTAAAATTTGGAAAAAATGTCCAAAATGGACATCATATACTGAAACAAGACAATTATTATTATTCCGTAGGTATAGTATAGCCGTGTACGTACAATATTTTATTCGGAAATACGCAGTTTTATTTTCGATATAGTATTTGATTTTTGTGCAGGAACATTTGTCTGGCGCCCCAACCTCCAAATTTCGGATTCAATTCCATAGCTTCGTTTGTGCTGATATTTTCTCGAATTTCATCTTTTTTTCTGCAATCCTTTGGGGAGTTACAAAGGACAATAATTGGGGGTGACAGCGATACGACTGGACCCCCAACTCCGAATTTTTGAATTTAAATTATCATCTGTGAAAGTTTGTGCTCGAGTCTTATTGTTTTGTGCTTCAACCCCTAATAAATTGCAAGGAATCTTTAGCGGGGGTGCCAACGGGGGACTGTCCCACCAGTTAGTTATTAATATAGTGATATTGTCGTCGTAGAGCATTTCATCATTAAACTAGCCTCGTTGTTCGTCCATGACCTATTCGTACATATTTTACCTATAAGTACCAGCTATGTACCGTTCCGCTAAAAAATTTAAAAAGAGATATTAAATCTACGACCGACATAATATTACAATAGGTGTATTATGATAATACCTTCAGTATTTTGCGAGCTTATTCTATCTCGCTGTCCGCAGACTTCCGCTCCAATATGTACGGCTGGACAATCGCCTTGCCAAGAAATTAGTTATTACCAGAGCTAATATCTCGTCCCGGAATTGATTATAGTATTATATAAAGTATATACTACTCATTAATTATTAAATATTAATAATCGTTTCGCGGCAATTAGGTATTAAACCGAATTAGTGGTTACCTATATTATAGTAAAGTAATATTATGTGGTCTGGCTATGATGGTCGCGTAATGAATTATGTATTATAGGTAATAAGCACCCATAATAGTAACGTTTCGACTTATTCGGAATGTGTAATTACCGCAAACGTAATAATTAAGCAGGCAAGTCTTCAACTTAAAATTAACAGCAATATAATATTGTGTACCTTCTGATGTATTTTGAAACAATAAATTAAGTACCAATAAAGCTTGACGGCTTATTCGAAATTACACGAGCACGTATTCGAGCGCCTAACACGCATCACGACCTCTACACGTATTATATTATTTAATATTTTATTATTATAATGCCTAACCACAATGCACATTTTGCTGTAAATTCGACTAATGAGGTTTTTTTTTTTAAATGTAAACCGTTTTGGGACGTGTGGCTTAGGCGCTTATCCCCTTTTAGTGCACCAATCTAATTGGGGCCCGTGTGTGCCAATAATCGAATTCTGTCTCGTTTTTAGAAATTATTATGGTGCATATAGCAGATGCTACTAGGTATCTATTTTATATGCAAAAACGCAAAGTTGGGCATTAACTGGTTAACAAAATATATAAAATAAGGTAAATATTAAAGTGGAGTACCATCGTTTGGTTTTTTTCGATTTTTACATAAATAGTTCAGTGATTTTTTTAAGATTTTCGATTTAAAGTTAAATAAATTATCTGTTTTAATAACTTAGTTTTTCCAATCAATTTGAAAATAATTAATAGTTAAAACCATGTTCATACCTACGTACTACTCACCAATTAGTTGATTACTTTTTATTTGTTGACGCTGTAAAAATGGTTTTACGAGTATATAAAAATAAACTAGTAATTGCTTAAACCATTAAAGCTAATGATCAATAAGAATAAGGAATAGTTTTTTTTTTTTAGAATTTTTGACAAAAATATGAAGTTATGATTATTAAATGTACACAATCAGTAATCACAACATGTGTGTCATAGGTGATAATTAAAAAAATAATTATAATAATTAACTGAGTTGCGTAAGCTTGTTATGTATATTAACTTCAAACTATTAGAGATAAATATTAAACTATTATGAAAATATGACACCATTGACACCTTAACGTTGACTCAATTCACCTAACTCGATTAAGTTTTTTTTTTAGTCATTAACCTAACCTAACTCTAACTCGCCCTTTTTTCTTTAATAATTAATTCTGCTTTTTCAAATTTTCAAATTTACTAAAGAACTATTTTTCCAAATATATAGATTTGTTTTCTCTCATTTCAGTACTGTTTAGTTGTATCTTATTGATACCAATTAATTTTTTTCAAATGAGAATCACACATTTTTCATGTAGATTGAATATGAGATGATATTTTTAAAATTGATGTATCTAAACAGAAGTTTGAACGAATAGTTTTATATTAAATATAAATGAATAGTGGAAGATATCGGGGGCTATGATTATTTGGTACTTATAGAAATTAACGAAAATCCTCAACATTTTATAATTTGTAAATATTGTCTGAGTGTAACAAAAAAATAATCTAGTATTAAATCTATCTTATATTTTTATTATAATCCTTCGTAAACACATTTTAATTACTCAGAAACTTGCAAATAGTGATTCAAATTTTGATTTCGATGCATCAACATATCCAAAATAATTATCTGCCCAACAATTTACATTAAAAAGGGTAAGTAATAAATTTTTGAAAATTATCCTTATATTCTATACAACTCCTTAAAAATACCAAAATCGGAAAACAAGAAAAAAAACATTATCAATGGGCAAAGTGTAGTTGGACATGCCTGAATCACTCTGTATAATAAGTATACATTTTGAGTTATTGTGACGAAGGGCGCTATGTATGATTGTCCATACTCTGGTTATAACAATATAACATATATTATGTAGTCCTAGCCCAACACGCAACATCGTTGTTTTATTATACATTTCGACATTTCGTACCTAAATAACAGAACCCCGACAATTAAGAACGTAAAATGAAATAAAATATGTAGATACACGTGTTTGAGTGCGTGTGCGCTTGTGCATGTGTGAGTGAGTGTGTGTTGTGTGTTTGCCGGTTTTGTTAACGAGTCTATACGGTCAAAACGCAGTCTCAGCTCGTATTGTGCTACGATTATAAACAGTATAATAATATAAAACGTACCTATAATGCAATATAACAATATAAATTATAATTATTAAGTAGCGAACATATTACTACCCACCGTTTTTTTGGAGAAGAGGTGTTTCCTGGTTTTCCCCCCATAGCCATATTTGACTAGGTACTTAAAAATCGCAGTAACTATATAATATTACATGTACCTATAATAACAATAACTAGTTCTAACAATTAATCAAGTTATGACATGTAGAGTGATTAACGAAACGTCAGCAGGGTTGAGAAATATTCGTTTCCACGTCACTTATAGGTTATTACAATGTACACACTCAACAGTCTACCACGACCATTAAGTTGTCTCCTATAGGTACTAAACATAGTCGAAGCGAAATGGGGTTAAGTCGCACTCATACTGTTTGTCCTGAAGGTTGGGTAACATTTATATTATTATAGGTGTAATTACGTAATATATTAAATTATTGTTCGTATAGGTAGTTGAAGTGATAACCAAAAATCGTTGACCACTGACTTTTTACGATCGTATTATTAATATATATTTAGGTCTGCGCAATCCGTATCGACAAGTATTTTTATTTTCATAGATTATTGGAATAATGTGGACACGGGTTTTAAACACAAAATGTGAATCATGTAACAATGAGTTTAAATTTGAAACTTGAAAATTTGCTTATTTTTATTTTTGGTCATTTTTTGGCGTTTTTAAATAACTTGTTTGTTCTTTTTGTTGCTTTAAGCCTTAAGGTATTTTTGACAGTTTGCATCAATCAACATTAATTCTTATTCATTCTTACTCCTTCAACTCCCCCACAAGGGACTCCCTAACATTATATTATAATATTATGCAACACTTTATGATAATTAAGGCATGTC